TGCCTCAACCTTCACTCGAAATTCACGGTTGGCTTAACTGGTTTGATTCGACGAGCTGTAAATCAGCTGCCTTGTCAAGTCCTCAAGGAAAAGGTAGCCTGGTTGGGATTGTAAGGCAAAAATTGCAACCCAGGGAGGAATCGAACGCGTAACCTTATCCAAATGAGATTTTGATGACGAAAATCACTAACTCTCTAACAAAATCACCACTCAGCTAACTCTGTACATTCCTGAAAAAATTGTATTGCAGTTGAGCTTTTTTCCTTTCCAATTCCAACCACTTCTAATTTTACAAAACCCGAATTTCAGATTAGCCAAGAATAATATTTTGTGAGGAGGCCTGCTTTCGAATGATATATAATTTTCTGTCGAAAATTCCAATTTTTTAGAAATTTTCTCTGAAAAAGACGGCATGAACTTACTCCATATCTCGAAATAGCTCTAAAATTCGCAGAAATTTCAAAAAATCTTCGAGTCGCTTAAGTTGCGCCTCCCTATATATACAATCTCTTTCTTAACGAATCTCTTTCATTATGTAGAGTGAAAGCACTCATCGAAAGGGAAACCACGTTACTAAATGAAAGCATAATATGGTATAAAAAATAATCTAAAAACTTCATTTGCGAAAATAAGCTAGTTACCCCACATTCATCTTCATAATCATCGCAAATTCCCTATTTACAAAAAGGCAAAGTGTCATGATCACTGATGAAAGTCTCCTTTTTTTTGGGCGAAATTGTTTTTATTCAAACAAAAGTGCTGCTTGCCTTTGAAAATTATTGGCCTATTGTAACCACAATTTTCAAAGTCTAGTGAATCTTTATAGTGCTCATTAAAACATCTAGAGCAAGACAATAGATTCGCTTCTGCTTTGAATGTAGCTGAAACAACCGAATAAATTTCAAACATTTAGGTTTCTTCTAAGCACTTCTGTCATGAGAATTACTGTTCAGCACATAGATAGTGTAGATTAACGTCTTATTCCATGGCGCTTCAAATCTTGTAGTAATCCAGATTGGAGGACAACTCTGTTTCTAATAAAACAGAAACATTAAATAGGTGGGACAAAGAAACCTTTTGAAGTCTGTGATTTCCACATTACTTGACAC